TCCCCCCATCCATAGTCTTTTCTCACCGACTCAACTTGTCCCTCTCTTATTGAGGAAGTAAACTCCAAGGCACGCTCCCGTTGGTCCTGAGCATCGGGACATTTTTCTGGTGAAAAGTCCCCTCTCGAAGCAGAATTCTCCGAGCCCGCAAGGTGAGAACCGGGGGCGGAAGTCTCTCCTCCCTGCCAAATGAATCCTGATGTAGCATTCGTAGATACAACAAAATTGGAAAACTGGAGCAAGAATTTAGACTATAGTAACAATAGCGAAACAATGAAAAGCCTAACACAGGAAAGAAGGTTAAACTCCTCAGAACGGTGGAATCTCCAAAAGGGAGGAAACAGACCTATATATGGAAAAGAGGTGACGATCCGCCTACCTAAAGGCCAATTAAAATGTTAGCCAAAATCACTTTGGGAAGATGTGCGGGCGGGGTCGCCTCGGTCACTTTACAATCGTGTTGCCAATTTGACAAGCATCGTACGACATTTTGGGGTCGAAAACCCCCACACCAAACAAGTCCCGAGATGGTACCCGATCTTGAGGACCTCCATCAAAAAAATGTTAGGCTCTATGAAGCCTTTGGCATCATCGCCAGTCCCGAGGTGGTACCCGACCTCGAGGACCTCCATCAAAAAGAAGTTAGGCTCCAGGAAGCCTTTGGCATCATCAATAGTCCCGAGGTGTTACCCGACCTCAAGGACCTCCATCAAAAAGAAGTTAGGCTCTAGGAAGCCTTTGGCATCAAAACTATTCCTGAGGTGGTACCCGACCTTGAGGACCTCAATCAAAAAGAAGTTAGGCTCTAGGAAGCCTTTGGCATCATCACTAGTCCCGAGATGGTACCCGATCTCGAGGACCTCCATCAAAAAGAGGTTAGACTCCATGAAGCCTCTTAGAATCGCCGCCAGACCCAAGATGGTACCCGATCTGGGGATCTCTCCAAGGGGTCGTCGATGTCATTATAAGACTCGAGATGGTACCCGGTTTTGAAGGCTCCTCTTAAGGAGAAAAACAAACACTTAAAACTCTGTTCGTATGGGATTGGCCTTGGGATACCATCTAAACACAGGCAGTCCCTCATCCGGGATCTATCTACAACGCCTTAAGGCTATTTACACTAAATTCAAGACGAGTCTCTGGACGACCCGAGTTTACCCTCACTCGGGGACTGCTCTCGAAAGCGTGAAGGCAGTCTCCATTCTCAATCTACCATGTGAATCCCACCTCAAAGATCATTGCCGGGTCTAAGGACTAAATTTCAATTTAGGGGTACGAAGTCTTACCTTCGTTCAACTCGAAGTCATGGTTCCGATGACCCGAGTTTATCAGTCCAACCCGGGCTCAATATTTGCACTAACCGATGGGGTCATGCACTAAGATTCTACACAAGCATAGATAAAGAGAAAATAGTGTGCATCAAAGAAAAATTAAAGAAACATTTTTCATTTATAAACACTCGATTACAAAATCCCACGAGGGGTCCTTAAACAGAAACAAAGAAGCAAAAAAGGTACATATGCAAGAAAAGCCTAGAGTTTAATCGCTGCTCGAGGGTTCATCCTCGGCGGCAACATCTTCGACCGCCACTCCCCCGGGGGGTTTATCTCGGTCCTCCGAAATGATATCTTCGAGGGCGAAGATGAAGAAAAGGAAATTGATGGAGAAGAGAAAAGTGATGCAGAAGAAGCAGAAAGAAACGAAGAAGTGGCTGGGTGAAAAATCTAGCTAGTATGGATTTTTCCAGCACTACTATTATAAAGCCACTTCTCGAGACGTTGCCCTGGTGCAGGATGCAACAGTTAGTAGATAGTACCACCTCACTCCACGAAAAGCAAAGGGCGTGAGGCGGTGTACCGGGTAATCAGAGGAGGTGAGCAGCGGTGTATAGTCCGAACTCCCTTGTGAGCAGCGGTGTAAAGTCTAAGTATGTTCATGAGTCGGGAGAAATCGGTCCCATATCCCCTCGTCTCGGGCCAACAACAACAACAGCAGCAGCAACGACAACAATAACAACAATAAGTTAGTATAGTCTCATTCGACAAGGAAGAGCCCCAGGAAAAAACCATGGCATAACTGATGAGAACACCATTAGATAGCCTTGAGGCCATGAGCCTCAAACATGGGAAATGACAGTGGATGAGGATGGAAAGAAGAAATGTGAGAAAGGTTGATTGAAGAACACTTGAACAAAAAGTGGTTCTAGGAGGCCCCCATTTATAGGAGAGGAGGCAGCATAACCAACAAGCTCCATTATTATCATTGAAAGATGTAACAACAGGCACATTTAATGCGTACTTGGAAGCTAAATTGACGGTGACATTACCACTTTGAAGAAGAAGAAACGGTGGTGCTTTGAATAACTCTGGAAAGTCGAAACGACTGGACATCTTGGTCGTCACAAAAGCCTATGTCATGAGTATGACGCCATTAGTATAACGTTAAAGTGGGAAATTCAGAAAAATGGTTATCAAGGTCGTTTCTTATCATTCTACTCTAAGAAACGCGGGGACTATCTATATACGGTAAAATCAGAGGGTCCAATTTTCCATCGTTATAACGTCTTGAAGGCTCGAAATCCCGGTCGAGTCTCATCCCTCAAGAGTTGTCGATGCTCGACCTCGGGGAAGTATGGGATCGATGGTTATGAGAAGAAAATGGGTAGTTCTCAAGGTGTGAAGCTAGAGCCGACAAAATCTGTCAGGCTAGTCTGAGTTTGTATTGTGGCATTAGTTAGATGTCCCATCTCCATATCTTTGTAATAAATGCACTTGTACTATGTTAGGATTCCCTCTCTTATATAAAGTGGATCCTTGTCATTTTGTAAACATCTATTGCTCCATACTAAATATACAAGAACATTCTCTCTTCTCTCTAACACATTCTCTTGGTCTCGTTATCTCATTTTATGCCCATATTTATTGTGTTCTATTTATTGTTCATCATTTATTGCTTATTATTGGCCATAAAGAGCTGCCCTTGATCTATTTATAATTGTTATTCGCCATTGACCACCTTCGATAGCTCCCAGCCGAGCTTCAGACTCCACCCCGAGGCCCTTGAATAGGCAAGCTCGAGGCCCCGATTGACAGCAATTCGATTTGATTAACATCTCACTCTTAAGCTCTGATCTCGTTTCTTAGTCTTTTACATAACATCTACTGCTTAGCAACTAGCATAAAAATAGATCATGTATTTTTAGAACCATTAAATCAAATTTAATTGTTATTACCATTTTCACGGTAATAAGATTATATTGTTAGAAGATTATATTATGGATGTTCCATAGCAACCACCAAAGGCGAAAGTAATAAGTAATACCCTGAGCCGCAGATCGGAAGATAACTTAAGCCTATTTAAAGGCTGAAAGAGAAGATGAAACTAAAGAGTTACAACAACTAAGTGAATCGTGATTCTTATTATTAGACCCAGATAAATATAAAAATTGTGATTCAAAACATTACAAAATCACTTTTAATATCAGAGGTACAAGAGAGATAGTATAGCAATCATATTCTATAACGACTCTACGATAAAGCCAGTTAGAAAAGTGCCAGCCTAATAAGAAGTAAGTATGAAACTCCCACTAGATTGTATATGCACCAGAGGTGCAAATATTATAGTAGAGCTTTAAGGTGTGAATGTGAATTCCACCAATGTGGAAGGGAGGTTATGAAAGATACAGAAGATACGATGCGAGATTTAAAGGTAAGAAAGGTAAAGGTAAAGGAGGTACGAGATACTCAAGTGCAGAAGGTTGTGAATAGTCAAGACTTCTGATAGAGGGCTAGAAATGTCGTGATTCAATATCCAGAAATGATAATGGTGTCGTCAGTAGCATATCTTCCACCCAATGGTTTCTAGGTACTGAGAGGTCTAGTTAAGAGAGTAAAGAAGAGTTAGAGACAATGTGATGTCTCGCTTGAGGTTCCAGAATAACATAAGGAAATCTGTGATGCTATTAAGTTAAAGGAAGGTTGCGAGTAGTATAAATAGATATGTGTAGGTCGCAAGCCAAAGTATGGTAGAGCGACAAGGTTTTAGGTATACATGAGTAAGGATAAGAAAAGGTGAATGAGAAGGTGATGAGAATAGGTAAGGCCTTAGGATTAAGCCCATCAAAACAAGAGAGTTGATGGTTCCCGTAAGCTATAAAAAGCCTTTTATAACCTGAATAAACTCGGTGGAGTTTAAGACTAGGGACATTTGGAAAAGAGGGAATGCTACCCTGGTAGTAGAATAAGGGTGTAATTGTGATAAATGTTAAGAGGATGGCACTTAGGCTTTCGATTGAGTAATTATTCAAAGACAAGGGATTTCATGAATTGCATAAGATTAGAATACCCCATAAGATGAATCATGTTGGGATCCGATAAAATATGGTTATTGTGAGCACATGATTTTTGCCCTATATATGAATAATTCCCAAAATTCAAGCAAAATAATATTTCGTTATTTTTACAATTTTTTGTGCATTTTGATATCATTTTCTGGTAATGGTTGCCTTTTATTTGTGCATGTTAATTCATATAAAATACAAAAAAATGCATTTTTGCATTTAGAATACAAAATAGCTCATTTCCGCATTTTAATTGTTTTAATCGTAAATTTGGCGTAAAATAGGTTTTAAATAGTTTTAGAATTTAATTAGTCTAGTTTTGAAATATATTAGGACTTTATTTTAATTGTTACAATTTTATAAAATCATTAAAAAATAAATACAAAATTACAAAGTGAAAAACAAAATACAAGAATAGATAAAAGAAATAAAAGAAAAGAAGAAAGCAAGCAAGAACAAAATTGGGCTCATCTCAATTTAACCCAAATCCTATACCCAAATAGTGCCCAATTCGGACCAGCCCAAATGCCCAAAATCCCTCTTCTTCTTTAAATCAAGCCCAACCCCCTTCTTCTCAATAACCCGCCCAGACGCCTGACCCGACCCGTCCATATACACACGGAAACCCAATCAGTCGATCAAACCCCCCAGACCCCTAATCCTAGCCACGACTGCTCTTCTTCTCCCAAAGAACATCCGAATCCAACCCTAATCCTGTCCAAATCCATGGCGAGTGAGCCTTAAATCCACAACCCACGCGTGCCCCCATCCCTCCTCTCATCGTTCTAGTGGATTTTCCTATGCGAGATTCCCTTCCCCTCTCACTCGCCCGATTTTGATCCATCTCACGCGATTGGAAGGTCCTAGAGATGATTCGTTGGATGAAGGTGAGGCATTGGATTGATTTCGTTCAATCCGAGCCCTACATTCATCCGGGGTTCGTTTCATAAAAGGACTCAATCCGATTTTTTGAGGGAGAGGATTTTCGGAGAAGAGGTGAAATTTTGAAAATAGTCTTACTTCTTCTTCTATACTGAAATTGGAGTTGAGTTCGAGAATAAGAAAAGAGATATATAAATATGTTCATGATTCTTTGATTTTTTGGTTTTGCAATTACTTTCCAAAACAAAAAATCAAAAGATATATTCCATCCTTTCCTTCTGGGTTGGAGGTGGTTTGAAAAGGGTGCTCGATTGAGAGTCGCTGAGTTTGTTGTTGTCCGAGTTTTGATTTCTACTCGATTATGTTGATGGTTGTGCTGATATTAGCTATTGTATTTCATTTGTACGCAATGTTCGAGCACAGTTGATCGGAAGTATTTATTGATTCCAGGTTCATTTCTTTTTCATTTATATTTTTCTTCCGTGATTCTGTGTTGTGCGCTCATGTTCTGTTATGTTTTGATCTAAGACTGCTTGAAAGTCAGTGTTTGGTTGTTTGAATTAAAAGCTGAGTCATGTTGGCCTTGGTTCAGGTCTGTTTCCGGTTGTTCTTTGTGTGTGTTTATTCTGTATTGGGCGAGCGATTGTATGCATTGGTATAATGGCTGCAGCTGTATGAAGTCGTCCCATTCGTTTGTTAAATTTAAGCATGGAAACAGATTCACGAACCTTAAGGGTTGAAGCTTTCTTATTCGACCATTTCTGCCGGTTTAGTTGAGTTATAGACTATTCGGCTATATGTTTTGTTTGAGAAGAGGTATTAGTTTTCTGTGTGCAAATATGAATCCGTTGCGCTTATTAGATTTTTACATGAATGGCCAAACTTCTGATCCACTCTATGGTTGTTAGATGAGACGTATTTGTTGTTTGTCGATTCATTGAGTCACAGAATTTCTCACCCGTCCAGAGTGCAATATGAGCTTATGAAATTGACACTAGTTATCTTTTGTTGTTGTTGTGTTACTCAGTCAATGGTATTTACCAGGACATGCTACGAATGCTCGAAGATAAGCGATTCAATGCTTGTTCTAAAGCAGTAGTTGGTCTAAACTTTGGCTATCCAAGTACAATTGATTTAAATTTCAGCAATAGTTTCTTGAGGTTTGGTTCATTCCTGTTGTGTTTGGCTTAGCTTAGTGTTGGTCTAAAGGGGTCGAAGCTCCATTGTGTCATTGTTTGTATATGCTCAGATTTGCGCTATTTGCCTTCTCCTGCTGGAATCTATCTGTATTATTACACCTATAAGAACTTTGTTCTTTCGCACTGCCAAAAACAGTTGATTCAAGCAATGAATCGTGCTGAAATATGCAGTATTGTGGGATATCTATTTGGATTGTTAGCCTGCAGAAAATCTGCCTTTGTTTCATTTTTGTGACTCTCCTTCAGATGCCGCTGTTATTTTTCTTGTGTGTTCCTCCTTTCAAGGATCGGCAGGCAGTCATGATTCACTCAAGAGTTTCATATGATATTCGAAAATGCCTACTTGTCTATCATTTCCTTTTCAAAGTAAATCTGCTTTCTTGTTGAAAAATGCATTAGTGTACTGTCCACTTGCTTCAGGACACAAGGAAAGTATCAGTGGTAGTTTTTTTTGAAACACAAAGAGCCTTCAGTTCATTTTGCAATATTGATTGATAAGTGAGTACATTTGGTTTATGGGAAGCTTTGGAATGGTCTTGTAAAGGTTTATTTCTCACACTACTTCTTGGTTGAGATATGATTCATGAACATATGAGTTTATTTCTTATCTTGAGTTTATTTCTTATCTTGAGTTTATTTCAAACATAGGCCTGAAACGATTCTCGCTGTTACTTGTTATGGCTCATTCGATTTGGTTAAGCTTGTTTGTCCAGTTTGGGCCAATCTCAGGCCCAATGACTATGTTTATTAGAAATTCTACCCATGTGCAAATATTGAAGCTTGGGCCCTCTTGGTTTCCTGACTAATACGTCTGGCCATATTTTAGTTAATTAAGTTTTCTTTTGTTTATTTTTAGAGACAAATAAGTAGAAAAAATATAGTTGCTTCTAAGTTTGCCCTTAAAATAAAATGAGACGAGCCTCGCCCAATAAACACAAAATTGCGGGGCCCTCAATAATGGCTATAAAATAATTAGAATTTGGGAGGGCCGTTTAGAGAATTTCATGGCCGTCCCTAAAAATAATGTTACGTTAGAACCTTTAGGCGCGACTTAACTAAATTACTTCCTTAAACTCGGGTGCGCATTGATGCGACCCAAATCCAAATCTCGACGAAGTCGAAATGTGTCGACAACCATGGGTGCATTGATTGCAACGTCNTTGGTTGAGATATGATTCATGAACATATGAGTTTATTTCTTATCTTGAGTTTATTTCTTATCTTGAGTTTATTTCAAACATAGGCCTGAAACGATTCTCGCTGTTACTTGTTATGGCTCATTCGATTTGGTTAAGCTTGTTTGTCCAGTTTGGGCCAATCTCAGGCCCAATGACTATGTTTATTAGAAAATCTACCCATGTGCAAATATTGAAGCTTGGGCCCTCTTGGTTTCCTGACTAATACGTCTGGCCCATATTTTAGTTA